CACTAAGTGTGCTTAGCCCACAAATCATAAATAGGGAGCTTTCAGAAATGATAAGATACAAGAAACCATATTACACATCGCCCATTTGTTACCGGCAATGGACGGTGGTTATTCATAGCCGGTTGAATGCTTGTCATTGAGAAATATGGCTAGTGTCCACCATTTGTCCATATCGTGTACTCTACACCATGCATCACTGGTCTATGGTATACTTTCAATCAATACATGGCATCGGTTTGAATATATAGCAACTAGGAAGAGAGAGAAATTTAAACTTTATGTGTGCATGCGCCTGTGTTTGAGTGAAGTGCAATGCTTGGTTTGAGCCATTTATGGTTACTTTTAAAAGAAATTATGTTGATTTATATGATCGTATCATTAGAGCATGGTTGTCAAATTTTAGCATATCGACATTTTTATACATTATATACATATAATTATTTTATATATAATCCTGAATTTACTCAAGTACTTAGCTTGACAATGAGCCAAGTCTGAGTAGCCCGGCCGAGTCCGAGTCAAGTCAGCCTTGTCTTTGAACACCTCCAATCTTATAATAATTTCATAGCCATGTCTTTGAACACGCCCAATCTTATAATAATTTCATATGTTAGCAACATTGAACTTGTAGATAAGAATCATCAAGGATCCTAAATGTAAACTGAAAGAAAGACCTATGTGATATCCTGTCGAAGATCACATACCATCTATGAGTGATTTACTAAAACTTTAACCCCCAAAATTAACTTAGGTTTAGAGAGGAGAGAGAGTACTACCTAAAATTTGGAGAGAAAGAGAGAGAATTAGAGAGAAAAAGATGGAGGAGAGAGAGTGGGGCGTGCCCCTCTAGTAGAGAGAGGTGAGAGAGAGAGAGAAGAGAGGTTCTGTGTGTAGAGATTGGACAAGAGCACTCCTATTTATAGTGTATATTTAGGTTTAGGGTTTCTTAGGGTTTTCCCATAGTTTGACTCTTTCATGAGATTGAATCTAGATCGTTGATCAAGGTGACTTGTGAGGTGAGAGATTTGAGCCATCCATTCCATAGATAGGCCATCAACATTATGGAATGTGCATGAACCATTATCCCATTTTATTTAAACCTTTTTTCCATCAATATATTTAAATAAAATAAATATCATGCATTACATAAAATTGCATAATCCATGTCACATATTCTGTAAGGATATGTCAAATATTATCAAGTAAATAAATATTACCAAATATAAATAAGATAAGGTCAATATTTACTAGCTATTCAAATTGACCATCTCTTCAAAGCAAACTTGCTATAAAACAAATAAAGCCATGGTCAATACTTCCCTTCCAAAATTTGAGCACATGCCACAAATCAAATTTACCTTAACTTAAAAACTTGAACATAAAGCAAACAAGAGAATCCAAAGAGGGTGGGGATGCCACCCTTTTATGGCACTTGTGGGCCCTCACCCACATGCCACATGGTGGGCCCATGTGCACTTTGGGCCCCCAAGAAATTTTATAAAGTATTAAAGTTAAATTAAAATGAATGAATATATATTTGAATTATTTATAACTTTGTAAAATTAATAACTGTATTTTTATAAAACCAAAAATTACAAATACAATATTGAGAGATTCATAAAAATTCAATTAATAAAACTAAATTCATTTTAATAATAAAATGAGCACAATTAAATTAATATGATGGGAAAATGATCCATATGGTCTTAAAAATTCAATCTGTAAATATGGGATACTCCACCTCCAACTGTGGACTACAGACCACACTAACTTTATCGAACCCCAGTGTTTCCCATGACCTACAGTCCAAGCAGGAGCTCATTAGCGGGTCACCAAAGTCAAGTCGATAAATCAAGGGGTTGCAATCCCAGTCTGTGGATTACAGGTGCTCCCCTAGAGACTAATCAAGGTCACCACGACCTGATCCAATCACAGCTCTATGGTGCATAGGGGTATCTCTCGTACATGCATACGCTTTACCCAAATGTGGATATTTAGCTTTCTTGAATGATACATCGATATGCATGCCGTGTGATGGAACATGGATGAGGTTTTGGCCCCCGTCTCAGTGGGCGTACCATCAAACACAAGGGTCACACAGTCCCTCGACTCTCTCATCTAGACATAAGCTTCGACCTCATCAAGGGCTAACCCCAAACCCTCCTCGGTTAATTCTTTATGCCCAGGTACCTTGGGTTTTCCAACTGTCTAGCCTAGATCGATAATCACAGTCCGATATAAGTAAACATCATTTGCTTAGTATGGTCTTCGAGGAACCACACTCCCACTGAGTTTATATTTCACTATAAGGAAAGTATTTTCAATGCACACTCATAAGGCCTTTAAAGGCCACATAAACCCAACATTATCATCTTTATATGAGGGTAAAAATAACCAGAATCATCAGCTGAAGAGGTAACCTTTTTATTTTTATTTTTTGTCCTTGTGTGTCTGTGAATGCATAAATTCTCAATGGAAAAAACCTTTTTACATCAAGGAACACAACTAGAAAAAACTGATATATAGAAACAAGAAAATTTTCAAGTACAACACCAAAATGTCTTGCAAAACTATACGAAAATTTATCAAAATAAAATAAGGAAAAGCCTTAATATCCTAAACAAAAAATGATGGTTCTGGTGCAGGTTCGTGATGGGATGAAAGGGCAACCCTTGAACATGTATTCAAGTAGAATACACAGAAAAAGCAGATAAATAAAACAAGAAAATCTCCATATACTTAATAAAATTATGGTATAAAAACTATACACGGAGCATATCAAAAAAAAGCAAAGGAAAAACTTTTAAAAATGATGTTTATGGTGCAGGTTCGTGATATGATGAAAGGGAAAACCATGAATCTGTGTCGAGTTTCTTCGAGTCCAGTAGTGTAGGGCCATTAGAAGAGGTACATGCAAGCAATTCTTAGAAGTGACCGAGAAAACAGGGTAGTCGTTTAAGCTTTAGGGTGTAGAGGATGCTCCCACTGACTATATGTTTGCAGTTATGCGAAAGAGCTACTTGGAGGATCTTTTTTAATCTTACATTTTGGGATCCAGTTTTGTTTTTTTTTGTTATTTTTTTTTTTTTTTTTTTTCTTCTTGCATGTTAAGAGTAGATTTCATTAATGAAAAGGGACACCCACCAAATTGCAATGACAAAGAGGAAGAAATAAAGAATCCCTACTAAAAAGGACCTATCATCACTCTCAAACACAACCAAATACCGAATCTCAAATACCCTACACTACCAAGAAGCCAAGTCCCCGCTAACCACTTATTGCCACACATGGACGATAACTCTCAACTCCCTCAGCCTGAACCCTAACTACTTACCACCACTCCAAAGCACTATCCCATCATGGACAGAAACTCTCAACTCCCTCAGCCCGAACCCTGACTGCTCACCACCACTCCGAAGCATTATTCCATCATAATAAGCAGCACTATCCCATCATGGACAGAAACTCTCAAGTCCCTTAGCCCTAACCCCAACTGCTCACCACCACTCCAAAGCACTATCCCATCATAATAAGCGCAGGTTGGGGCAACACTAAAAATACTGGCAGAGCCTAGACTCATGGAGGCATCTGAACCATAGTTACTTGGAGCGCCCAACTAGGGTGGCGCTCCCGCTTCGAAACCCAGCTCCGTAGTCGGGATCTCTACCGGTACTTGTTCCCTATTTTTTAGGATTCTTGATCCCGTTCACAACATAGCTCGCTCCCGATACTGTATGGAACACGTTCCTTAAATTTTAGGATCTTGTTCCTGAATTAATTAGATCCCTAGTGCTAGAGTTTTAGGAGTGCGATCCCTATATTTCCGCAACTCCATCCCTATTTCCCTGAAACATCCTAAAAAGAACTTCTTCAATAAAATTATTTTTAAAGTAAAATAATTATATTTTAAGCCAAATTTTCATAAAAGTGGAGTTTTGCTATGGAAGCATGGACTAATCATACACAAAACGCTATCCTTCCTTGAATGGAGCTCGATCCTTTCCAAATAAGAGCACAGACATTCTTAGATGGGGGACGCGATGTTGTTGTTGATGGGAGGACGATCCTAATGAATATGGGAACACGATCCCATTTGACATGAAAAGCTTTCCCGTTAAATAGGGATTTCGATCCCGATGTATTGGGAACATACTCCCTATTCATACGGGATCTCGATCCGCTATTTTTACTCTCACCGGAACTCACTCCCCGAGCTCCGGAGCTTTGGTCAGACGTCGCTCAGACACTCCCGCTCCCGCTCCCAATAACTATGGCCTGAACGGTGTCAATGCAACCAGCGATTCAGAAGTAGGGTTTGAGAGATAAGGAAAAGAGAGACGTGGGTAGGAGGAGAGAACAAAAGAGGGGGAAAGTCAAATAACCAAACTAAACGGTAGAGGGAAGTGTTCCGGACATCTCCACTGGGACACTGAATAAGGTTACAAGTAAGGAGATCATGAACAGAAAAGCTCAAAACAAAAGAAATAACAATGTAACTAAAAACAAAACCAAGGAAGGGAAAATATAAAGAAGTAAGACGAAGAGAGAGGAAAGAGACAAGATGTAAAGATGAAAATCAGAAGGGGAAGAGAACAAAATGAAGGAAGAAGCCAAGTGAGCTAGATCTAGGAGGAAGAGAAAGAACAATCAAAACAGGGGAGAAAATATTCGGAACAGAGGAAAACCACAAGCGAAGAAAAGTTCACTGGATAGAGCTCGAGGTCGTTGTAGCTTGCTGGTCGCCAGAGCAAAAGGCTTGCCGGTCACTCAAACTTGCTGGTCATTGGAGGTTTTAGTCATTGAAGCAGCAGCGCAGGGGGAAGTAGGGGTTGGCGGAAGGTACACAGAGCAGATCTCTTGACATGAGTCTTAATTCCATGTAAGAATATAGAAACTATTGCACTTGTTCCATAATAAACAACAAACATAACAAGACATACTTAGGAATTCTTAGATTTAAACACTTCCATGATAAACTACAAACATAACAAGATATAACTAGGAATTCATAGATTTAAACACACATGGATGGCCAGGAAATCATACATTTCACTGTGCTCAAACCAAATATCCAACTTATTGAACGAATGTAGAAAGCATAGATGTTAAACTCTATCAAACTCTTCACACTGCACTCAAATAGAACTTAAAACCTGGAAACACCCTCTCTCTCACACACACGTACCTCTATATTCTCTCTCTTCATGGAAGCTCTATGGACTGTCATACCTCTATATTCTCTCTCTCTTTATTGGCATCTCTATGGATCCTCATAGTGAGATAGAATAAGAAGGCAGCCATGAAAGCAGCTACCCCACAAAGAGGGTTAAAGATCCAGTTATGGGGCAGAGAAATCAACACTTGAAGTGGGAAAGCCACTACAAAAAGGCCTATTCCAAGGCCTAGGAGGCCCTTCATGACCATCATGTCTTTAATGGACTGGGGGATGAAGACTATCAGCACAACAAGCTCCACTGAGATCACAAAAATGAGCAAGTAAATATTCAGTAGTGCTGCTACCACATAAGTCTGGTTAGACTTAAGTGGAAGACTCATGGCCAAGGCAAAGGTGGATGGTGCCATGGCTACGGCCAAGGGGGCTATAGCTTTGTATGTGGCCTTTGGGTCCACAAGGGCATGCACTTGGTTGCCGGGTTCTGGTGAAGATTGGCTGGAGCCCGGCACGAAATTGCTGTCATTTTCAATGTCTGTAGGACTGAATTCAGTTGATGGGCTAGATGAGGTGGGGGGATTTTTCGCCGTGGTCTCATCGTTTTGAGATGCATCATAACCGCTTAATCCATTGGTTCCGAGGCTTGAATTGATGGAAGGTGGTTGTGGAGTGGACTCATCCTCCTGCAAGGAAAGAGAAAGAAGACAGTGAAGAGGTGGTCGGCATGAAATTGAGAGAGAGAGAAAGAGATTTCTTGTCACCTGATCCTGTGGAGGAAAGAAAAATTGGCGCCATGCAAGGATAAGTAGACTTGAGAGAGAGTAGAAGAAGGTGCAAGGATTAGTGGAAATTAATGCCATTGAATCCTCCTATTCCTACAATTGAGAAGAGGGGTGTATAAAAGGAATGCTATGTACTAAATCGTAATTTTTAAAAGGATATCTTGGCCGACTGTTGGCGGTTGAGAGCGCTATTCACCTCTATGTATTAAAAAATAAAATAAAATTAAAATAAAAAACTTTTTTTCTTTTTTTTAGTTTTGTAAAATTGTAAACTTGTTCCCCAAGGAAAAAGACACGGTGCAGTAATTTTTCTTATTTAAATTTCTAAAGTCTACTTTAGAATTATCAATGATTATTTTAGATATGATTGTTCCTATTTCTGTTCAAATCTAGGACGTGATTCTTTTTTTTTTTTTGAGGCAAAAAATCTTATTGTTTTCTTATCATTGGTAAGGCATATAAATAGTTTCGTCATACTATAATCGCTTTTCTGAGGTTTATCTGCTCTGTTTAACCGGCACTTCTCGGATGCAACAACATGTCCCTTGATTTTTCAGATGGACGATGATGATAAACCTCAGTTTATGGGTTAATCTTCCTTGTGAAATCACGCGTCATCCCAGCCGTTTATCCCAACGTCAATTTGGACGTCATAGCCATTACGACACAGGCATAACGTGGAGAGGAGGCCTTTTCCTACGTGACAATTACCCTAAAAAATAAATAAATAGAGAAAAAAAGTGTCTTATATGGCATGTGTGGCGTTCTCTTTTGCTTCTTGATTGTTGGATGTGGCAGGCTGTAAATGGGTTGGGTGAGGTCCCCCTGGTCGAGTTTGACTTGGAACTGATCCAGACGTGATGGGGTCGGGTCCCTAAGTTTAAACAGACCCCGGACATCGCCCGGACCCCGTTCAATATGAATCATTGGACCGCCTTGTCATTGCACAAAAATTCTTAATTAAGATTTTGAAACTCGACTAATACTGTAGCTACCAGTCCAAGGGCATTGTTTTATTTTCCCTCATTTTCCATTGCAATATATTAATGTAAAGAAATCGATGACATCATTAACTTTGTAATTTTATTTGATAACATTACAACAAGCATCCTCAGCATGATCTCATCCCATTGTTTTGTACTCTCGGGAAGAATACAAAGGTTCCTCCGTCCCCCACCAAAGAAAAAGGAAAAACTCGTAGCGAATGAGGCTTCGAGAAAGTACTTTTGGTGATGGAAATCTTTTTAGTGGCTTGGATAATAAATTTTGAAACTCAATGATATAGATCTTGCGGATTTATGAATACTTATTTTTAAAGAAAAATGTATGGTGTATATAACTTGTTCGTAAATACACTATTTTTAGACCTTAAAATCGTCTTCTTTTTTTTTACAACTATAATATTCAAATCGAGATAATCTTCTATAGGACAATGGTAAAACCAGCTTTACTCTATAGGGCAGAATGTTAGTCAGACAAAAACCAATTTACCCATAAAAATGAGTGTAGCAGAAGTGAGGATGTTGAGATGGATGAGTGGCAAGACAAGAAGGATTGAATTCCAAAAGAATCTATTCAGGAGCATTTAAGCATGGCACCAATAGGTGTTAAAATGAGAGATAATAGACTTAGGTGGACTCGTCATGTGTGGTGCCAACCAAGTACAACACCGGTTAGGAGGTGCGAGTTAATTCAAGTGAAATAACTGAAAAGAACAAGGGGTAAGCCAAAAAAAAGGCGTGGTTGAAAGTAGTACGAAAAGATATGGAGACTTATAGTCTCACGGAAGATATAATCATTAATAGAGCAGAATGAAGAATCAATTCATGTAGCCAACCCCAATTAATTGGAGAAAAACTAAAATGATGATTCAAATCAAGATAATCGATGTAAGGTTTTTTAATGCTTGACTTGCAATATTCGATGAGTTATGAGGTGAGGATTTACTTATTTTGATAGAGTAGAAAATCATGTCAAACCATTTTCTTGTTGATAAATATATCTAAATCTCATCAGGGGTATGTTTGATAAGCACATAATATTTAGATATTCCTATATATTACAAGATTTAGATATTGTTTAACACAATATGGTAAAAGCCGTATTTGATAGAGCCTAACTTGATCGCATGAGATTTAAATGTTACCCCAAAATCAGTATCTTCTGAAAGAAAAAACAGGTGGGACTTGAATTTAAAAGGATTTTAAAAATGCTAACTTACGGCTTTCAATTTTTCCCTCAAAAATTTTTGCCTCTCTACCTCTCTCATATCTTATGAGACCCCGTCCTCTCCCTCTTCTCGATCTTCCCATCCAGGTTTCCTCAAAGCTTAGTTTTCCTTGTTTCAAAATCCTCTGTCGAACCATATATTGGCATTTGGGATTATATACCTCTCTCTCTCTCTCTCAATTACATTAACCAAGAGATAAAGCCATTCAATTTCACAAAGAAAGAAAGAGAGAACCCATTTGAACGCCTAGGTTTGGGGCTCATTTACCTTCTTTTTTAACCCAAGTTTCTTTGGGTTTCTTGTTTACTTTTTTGTTTTATTTTATTTTTTTACTCTATTTTTTGGTTTTTTCGTTTACTATTTTCCAATTTTATTTAGTTTTGTTTAGTGATTTTCAACCAATTTTACTTTGATTTTCACCCTCTTTGTGTGACTATGGCAGTGAATGGATGAGGGAGGTAGAGCCTTGTGATTTATCCTTTTGAAAAACCCTTCGTTGCACCTGAAGAAATTGTGAAATTTGGTTTTCAACCAAACATGCATAAAAATATATATCACAATAATATATAATTCAAATATATGAAGAGTGGGCAATGCCTTTATTCAGATTTTAAATAAATTAAATAGTCGGAATCTGTTTTGTCAAAGAAAGCCTAAGTTTTGAATAAATATATTTAGATACGGAATCTTAATACATAAAGGGCATAGTTTATATAAGATGCCAATATTTTTTTGCGTTTCTTTTTTTACAAAATGATGTAATTTATTGAAACTAGCTGGTTACAACATGAAATCAGGGAAAGGAAACTCAGGAATTACAATCACCGTAAGTGATTGTGAGACTCCCTCTTTTTGCATGATTGTCTAACTTCTTCATTGGCTTTCCTGTAAGGTGTCAACTTAAAGTAAAGCCCGCCTCTAAATCTTGATAGAAGAGACAACTTTGGTGCCGGAAACTTTTACGATGACCCAAAAAATTATTTTTACTCTTAATTATAAAATTTAAAGCCTTAAAAGTTATACAAATCTAAAAGTTATACAAAAGGAGTAGATATATAAAGGCTGAAAGTATTTCAAAATAGGCAAGTCTCGATAATGTATTACACAATGCAGTATTTTTAGCACTTCAATTTATTTTTTTTCTCAGACATAATGAGGTTGAGAAGATTAATCAGGAGGTTTTCAAAATGAACTTTGCGTGTAGATTTAATGAGAAACAAAAGACAAACCTCCAAATATTTCAAGTTGATGGGAGTTGACTTTGGAATATATGATTAAAAATCCTCTCCTATCCATATCTCTTTGCATTCTCACTTAATGTTGGGTTGAGTGTTAAAAAAATCAACTCGGCCAAGGTACTTGGGATCTGGCCGAGGCGATTTATTTGGGCGAGTATGTGTAACTCGCCCGAGTCCAACTCTTTTTTTTTAAAAAAATGAAGAAAAATAATAGTTATATACATTATTAACGCTTCTTTTAATTACAAAACAAAAAAAGGCATACTGGTTATTGTGCCTTGTATAAAAAGTCCCTTTGTATTGGTGGTGGGTCTCATGTTTCTAGATCCTTCTCTTTTCGAAGCACTCTCTTTGTATAAAAAGTCTCTTTGTATTGGTGGTGGGTCTCATGTTTCTAGATCCTTCTCTTTTTGAAGCACCCTCTTTCTTGACTTAGAGATAGCATGGCGGCGTGTTTGGATGAGCACCCTCTTTCTTGACTTAGAGGTAGCATGTCGTGTTTGGATGAGCACCCTCTTTCTTGACTTAGAGGTAGCATACTGTTGCTTTTCTATAAAAAGTTTATAAGCCCATACTTTTTATGGCGTGTTTGGATGGGTGCCTTAGGACCATCTATCCTAATGCAGTTCTAGAACACTGAAAATAACTAAAAATTCCTTTAAAATACTGTATTTTATGTTAATATATTATTACGATATTTTTTCTCAAAGTTCCCCACTACACACCGTTATGATTAGAAGTAATAATTTATGTGATGATTATCTAAAATGCCCAAAGAAATTTAGTTGAAACAATGACTCTCGACCTTTAAGATCTAAAGTCTAATCCAACAAGTCTTGACTTCGGAATTCGAATGTTTAAAGCCAATGCTTACGTCTCAATACATAAGTTTTGTGATGTGAAGGTCTTGCTTTTGGATCTTTAAAGTCTAAAGCAAAAACCTTAGTCATTTTGATATGGGGTCTTGGCTTCATATCTTTAAGGTTTGAAATTTAAAAATGAGTTTGGATCTTGAAAGTCTAAAATCATATTTAAAACGATTTTCTTTAAAACTTATGTAGTTATTAAATTATTACTTTAGAGCTCGGAAAAAAAAACCCTGTTAGGAAAAAATAGAAAACACTAGCTATATATATCTCTCTCACACACACAAAACTGCATCCCAACGCACCCTATAACTGGATTTCGTTTCCCTTTTTACATGTGAAAGATTGTGTTACACCACCACGTTCATTCACTTCCACCCCAATCACCAAAGAACCAGCCACCATTGCACCTTTAGAACATGTTAATGAGAACCAAATTTTCACTGGAGTCAGTTGAAGACTTGCAGAATCCTGGCGATAAGGCACATTTTCCAGCAGACCCAAAACCAACATACAAGATCATCGGCCTCGTGGCCATAGGCATGGCTTCCGCATTCGTGCTTGGCCTTCGACTCCCGTTCGAGAACTCTCGACCTTACGCCTTGGCAGATTTGCTCAGCATTTATTTGGTGACTTTCATGATCTCATTTGTGATCAATGTGATGTTAGTCTTTGTGCCTCAGTCTATTGTGGGCATGAAAGTGATGAAGGTTCTCTGAGTTTTAGGGTTGTGCCGTTTCCCCT